GAAAAAGCTGCTCTGAATAGTTTCCCACCCACTCTCACAGCAAGACTGATAACAGGGCATTTGTGCCAGTGCTTTTGGATAGGAGAGGTACACACACATATTTATATAAATGCAGACACATGTGCGGCTGCTGGTGAAGCTCTGCTCTTTTCTTAGCTTGGGTTTGGATGTCCTTGATTGAAAAACATCGCAGCAGCCTGAACTCATGGGTCTGCCGTGAGCCCAGCAGCACAGGTTTTAATGAGGAAATATCTGCTGATAGCTTCTGTTTCTACTGTACCTTTAACTGTTGGCAGGAGAATTCAGGAAAGGACTTAGATGTCAGCTGGATACCAAACATCATTGGCCACTGGTCAATCATCAAGCAAACAGCAGGGCTGAATGGAATGGATTTGACCCAGAGGTTACCAATTTTTCAAAATATTACATGTGACCATTTCTTAAACAGATTAGATGACATTCTCAGCCAAACATACACCAGAAAACGGGACTGTTATCCTCCAATTTCTCTCTTTTCTGAAAAAAACAGAGGGCAAACTTTCAAAACTTTCAACCTTCTTAAAAAGGCAGTGAGCTTTCTGCATTCCTGACCTTTCACTTGCAGAGGGAATGCTGATTTCTTGCTGAGCTATGGCTCTGATCATCCCTGCCAAAGCTAAGACGTACACGGGCTGGCTTACCCTTGTTTCCACTGGCTGCTGGAACACGCAAAAGAGACTCTGTGCCCTCCTGCCTCCAGCACCCAGCCAAGCAACGTGATACTTTTCAGAACCTTATATAGCACTTTAAGAGCTGTATAGAGGAGCTCGAAACAGGATGACACAGAGGGCAGCGGTGCAGGGAAGTTGAGAAATGTCTTCTACTTTTGCTCTCAAGCAGATCAAATGGTCAGTTCCAAAGTGGGGCATGATCAACTCCCTAACTTTTTGGAGGCAAAAGTTAGCTGGAAGACTAGAATAACACAGAGTAGGAGTGGAAGTGGATGTGCTCACCCACAGACAAAAAAAGAAGGTTTATTCAAGCATTGCAGTATGACAATCATGCAATGCAAATGCCCCAGTGAAGTGAAAATGTGCAGTCAGCCCTCGAGCCCAGGGTTTCAGCATTCCCAAGGCAGGGCAGCAAACTGCAGCACTCTGGGAGTGGCCTTTGGTCATGTCATTTCTCCCACAAAGCCCAACAGGAAACACTAGTGCAGAACAACTACTTCTAAAGACCCAAGCTACTGCTAGAACAGAATCAAAGCTTGTGCCTACAGATCCTAAACAGTGCCAAGATCCCTTCCTGCCCAGTGCTGTTTAACCCAATGTAAGGAAAACGTGAGACAGAAGAAAGGTCTGTCAGGAGGTCTGTACCTGCACTGCCTACTCATCTATGCTGTTATTCACTGCAGTGCCTAAGATGGGCCACAGTCCTACGACACTATTTCTGAATGAATAAAAAGGGATCAGTGTTTCATTTTACAACCATTGCAGCACAGATCTGGGGTGCTCCCGACCAGTGTCAGCACAGACAGGCTGCATCTTCAGGCCTGAGGAGAAGAGAATTTGGCCCAAGATGTTAAAGGGTTATTTTAAGGAATGCTTTTCTCTTTCTCCCTTCTCTCTCTCTCTCCATTTGTTTGTTTTGGAATTGATACCAGGAAAAAAAATGTAACTAGGAAACAGAATACATAACCGCCTGAGGTGATGTACAAGAAGTTTCTTCGCATTCTCTGACTTTTTCCTGGTTAAAACCAGTTTGCCTGGGGATGGGCCAGCTCGGTTTCGGCTTCTCCTGCTTTCCCAACATTCCACAGAATAGCATGACCTTCATTAACACAACACAGCAACTGGATCCAGCTAACAAAATCCAACACATGTAGGCACTTGTCCCCCTCGTCCTCAAGGGTAGAGAAACACGGATACCGTTGTTCCAAGACTGGCCTTGTCATTTCCAGTCCTTATCCTCACACAACAGATGCTATCAGGACTGCTCCTTGCTGCTCAAAGGCTGCAGCAGCTTCTCTGCACCCTTTCTGCTTACTGGATTAACACCCAGTTGCTCTCTTAACTGTGGATCTAGTGAGAGAACTTTGCAAAAAATAGTTTACAAGAAATGGTAAATAACTAGTAGCCAGGGCTCTATACTTGTGTTGGCTGGGTGTCAGGGCATTTGTTACTGAAAATATGGACTTGTTCATAGTTAAAAAACAAAACAAAACAACACAACCAAAACCAACAAACCAAACAACAACAGAAAACTTCAGAATTGTAGCAATCTGGACATAGTTTGATGGATTTGGGGGCATGGGGGAAGGAAAGGTCTAGTCAGTTTGCAATATTACGTATGTGGAGATCCAACGGAGATAGTGGGGAATGCAATGAAGATAATAGACTGGCCTCATATTTCAGTGTTTGTTCAAACTTTTCATGTTTTCAGACGAAATTCCACGTTAAAAAAATTCAATAGCTATGGGCAGCAGAAAACAAGACACTGTTATGAGGTAAAATAATGTAAACTCTCTACCATTCACACTCAGGACCAGCACTCACAAGCCCAGACTTGGCAGTGGCAGGTCTTACACATCCCCTACATTCTGCTACCTTCCATTTCTCTGTATTGACAGGTGAGTGACCAAGAGAAGCTTCAGACCTAATAACTTCAAAATTGGACACTGCACCTCATTTAGGGCAGAGAACTGCAGTAGAGGGACCATCCTTTTATTCACTGTGCTGTTTGTCAGCCTGGACTGTCACCTGTGACAACCTTGCAAATGCTAAATTGGCTCTTAACCCACAAAGGCTCCTTGAGTGAAGCCAGCCCTTTGGGAAGCAGCTGTGCTGCCCAACAATGGGTCCAGGGGCAGCTGCTGAAGCCCCGAAGCCTAAAGCCCCTGTGACTCAGTTCAACTTCAGATGAGTATCTGCTCTAACCAAGGGTGTGATGCTGCTCCAGTCACTTCCACAAGGACATGAAAGCTGGCACAACTCCTACTCAGGGAGGTGTTCTTCCACCCAAGAACAAGGAAAACCCTTGACGTAATTCTGACCATGATGTAAGTGGAGGTACTTTCCAGACTGAGACCCTTTTCCCCATTCTGTGAAAGTCACACAAAACTCCATAAAGTCCACAGACTGAGTAATCAGAATGGAGATGGGCAATGGGAGACAGAAGAGGAATAAGCCTGAATGAAGCGTTGCATAAGCAGTGGCAATGTTTCAGTGGGGTTGGTTAGTTTAGTCTGTCATATCAGCAAAATAAGCAGAGGAAAGTGAAAGTGTTTCATATTTATGAAGTTCCATAAATAGTTCACAGGACTTTGCTCCTCGGTAAGGATTCCAGGTACAACAGTAATACCAGAAGTTATAAAAAGTACTATCAAGCTTGTTTAGCAGTCACTCTATCTTTGCTATTTGAGCAAATGGACAGAAGTCTGTCATTTTTATCCCCAGTTTAATCTCAGACATAATCATCTGGTAGTGTGTATATTTAACCAAATTCCTCACTCTAGAGCACAAGAGCTCCGCTAGCAGACAGCATCCTGGATACTGCTACAAAGATTCTTTACTGTTATGAGCATATATATCAAAACAACCACTGCATTTGAAGTAACCAACATGAGAGGTGGCCTCACCATACTCGAATTCTAAAACAGTTTTGGGCACACATTCCCATCTGTCATGGTCCTTTCCCCATGGGGAGTCTAACCATCACTTTACCATTTACTGCTACAAGGACGAATTTATGCCACCTAGTTTTACAGATTTAACAGTTAGTTATCCAAGTCCCTGCTAGCACAGTCTAGGTCCCCTGTGAAGTCAATCCAAAGAAATAAGCATCTCCAGAGGGCAAATAACTTCATCCCACTTGTTCTGTGAGATGATGGTTTCTGGAAAAGCCTACAGTACAAGATAAAATTACTAGTTTGGACTAGATACCTTGCCTCTGCAGGGCTGAAGTTCCTCGAAATGAACTCCACGTGGATGACACTACAGTGCAGAACTTCACAGATCCTTCCACACAGAAGCTGGAAAATCTTTTATCAGCCATTTCAGCTGAAACCATTTATTACTGAGACAATGGACCTTAATCATCTTCAGTGCAAGTCATTCTTGGCAGATAAGTAAAGCTGTGCCTCCCCATCTTTCAGGGGATGCTCAGATGGTCCATCAATGCCCCTGTTCTACTTTCTTGCTTATTTTGGTCCTTCAAAAATCCTAAAATTACATGGTTTACCCGTGCCTTCGTTTCCACGTTTTATACATGATGTTCAAGTCATGTTCTTACAATATTATAGGCCTTGTCTGGCATTGAGAAAGTTTTAGTCAAGAGTGTTTTATGTTACTGGAATTGCTTATACAAAATTCCCTTTTACAGATTAATTTACAAGAGAAGAAAATCCTGTACTTATCTTAATTACTTTATTGATTCTTGGAAAAAGAAATACAAACTCAAGGTGGGAAGAAGGAAAGATAACATGCACTTGTCTTTCACATACAGTCAAAATCTTTCCATTGATGCTGCTTTATAATGCCCAAGATCCACTCTTCTGCTCTAGAGTGGTAAAAACTGACCCTTTTCTTTCCCCCATTCCCATGAGAGAAACAACTACAGAAAAACAGCAAGAGGGGAAAGACAGGGAGAGACAGACTAACCTATGAAAGCTTTCATATATTACAACTTTACAACAAAGTTATGTGCATTCACACAGAGCATTGTATCCCTGTGAAACAGCAAAAGAAAACCACCACTAATGCAGGGGGTAAGAAGGTTTAAGGAGTCCAGAGAATGGCAGGATTTGGACACATTAGGATGAGGAGAGATTGTTAGGATATCCTGGTCTGACCTGTCCACCCCACAGAGCTCCTCTTGTCCACGCCTGCACAGAAGCCACAGCTTGCTGGCTCTTACCTCTCCCTAAAGCACTGATGCTCTGTCCACTGAAGGCAGGGCAGGGAGCTCAAAGGTTTCTGATCATCTCCTTTCACTGCCGAGTAAACAAAAGGCCCCTTACCTACCCAGCTCCTCTGGGGACAGCTCCGATGGTGTGACCACGGCAATTAACGCAGGACTAGTTACAGGCATGCTGTGATCTGCCCTGGAAAGGCCAGCACACAGGGCTGCACTCGGTCATCCATCATGCAAAACCTTCCTTCCCATCGAGCTTCCAGCCAGGACACTGAGCAAGGCCAGGTTTAATCCCAGGTTATGAGTGTGCATGAGAGCATACTGCTGGAAAAGAGAGGATTAACAGAAGCTGGAGTTCCTCCTCACTCCACAACTATTGCTAGGGCTGAAGTGCTGCAGGCTGACTCACACAGCTCCCCACCCGCCCTGAAAGAAACAATCTTCTCAAAGACCTATGGACTGAGACAGAAAAGAAAGCTTACAAGTTTGCTGAAAGGGAAAAAGAAAAAGACAGACAAAAGAAAAGATCCTAAAGAAACACATGCTTGGATATTTGGTATTTTCTAGGATTTTTTTTTTAAGAACAGTAATGGAGAAAAATCACTTTCTTAAATTTAAAAGATTCTTACTAAGTAATATTTATAAAAGCTAGTTACTGTTCAATGGAGATGTACTGGCTACAGTCTAAACCAGAGCAGCAACATAAAAACTGGAAAATTAAAAAAATCTTCTTGCAGAAAACACTGTGTTTTAGCTTTTGAACTCTGGCTTTTCACAGCTCCATGTTTTCATCTGATTTTTGAAGCCCAGCCTGGCTACACAACTCAGTCAGAAGAACAGCAATGCACAGCCTGTGGTAGCAAGGACATGAGAACAGGCAAGGGATGAGGGTCCCTATCCTTTCCCTGCTGCCAGGAATGGAACACCACCATGGCAACACCATGCGAGCCTGGGTGTGATCTGAGGGATGGAAAAACAATCACTTCTTCCTACAGCAAAACTGTGAAGGATCAACAGGTTTTCTGTACTATTTAAGGACTAAAAAAAGATATAAAAAAGAAAATACTAGTTGGATTTTATTAAGAACGGCTGTTCTCAGGTTAGAGGTTACTCTAACAGGCATTATCACCAATTGGTTTGAGTTCTTTGGCTGCTGTCTGAGCTGAGATGGAAAACAGATTTGTACTCCCTGCAATAAATTATTGACTGCTATGACTCTCAGGAAGGCCAAGGTGTGGTCCTTGCTGGCAGGTGAGAGGGTGTTTGTTTGCCAGCCGTTCCCCTAACTGGAGGAAAGGTGCTCATAAAGTAAAACTGCAGAAGAAAAGCCAAAAGCGAGAGGCAGGATTCCCGTAAGTGACTTTTTGGTGTTCGGTGGACACACAGCTGTTACCACATTGAACCACACAAGTGTCCTCAGAGCACCAGGGCACCCCACGAGAAACCCAGGGGCTGGAGATGTCTGTGTGAAAATGCATGGCACTGGCTGACCTTTGCTACATCTCCTTCTCCAGAGCCACAAGTAAACATGATCAGGAATGCAGAAAGCACAGATCACACACCACACTGAGCAACCACACAGAACACACTGTGGTTCCACCAGGCCATTAACAGCCTCTGAAGGACATTGCTGTCCTGTATTTGGGTGGGATTTAATCAGCTGCTGCCTACCAGCAATCTTGGAGGCAGCAGGGAAACATCCTTACCCCTTTACTTCCTTGGGGAGCAAAACGAAACAGAAAGGTAAAGTAGATAAAGTTCTGCCCTGTGATCCAGAAGTAGATTTCACCACCTCCTGCCTTCCAACCCAGTTCTCATTCCTGCAGACCATAGCACTTCTCAGATCTGCTCCAGGTAGGCAGATAACACTCATGTACTTCATACCCCAGAGGAGGAAAAGTCATAAAGAAAAGGGACTCAAGGATTCAAAGGTTTGGTGAGATTTATAATCAGCACTCTGGGAACAGTAGAGGCTGATAGTATTTGAAAGCAAGCAAAGTAAGAGCATAAAATTAGAACTGAAGCTAGGATGGTGCTCTAAGTGTGATGACCTGACTGCAAGCAGCAACTCCTTTCACACTTCCCCTGTGCCCTCAGAAGCCTTCAGACACAAGGCAATTCAGATTTCATTCATGATTCCCTGGTACTACAACAGTTAACATCTCAGCACCCTTTCCCCATATTCTGCCTCCTATGAACCAAAAGATAAGTTATAAATTTCATTTAAAAATCCCAACTTCATCAGTGGTATCATTCCTTAGGGCATTGCCAGTGCAAAACCCCAAGGGATGTAACATTGAATGCCCGATGTCCTTAAATCTTGTAAAGTATTTTCTAGGGGTTTTGGTTGCTGAAAGCTTCAATGATATCAGGCTGTTCAGAGTTAACCTTCGTGGGTGTTTTCATCATTCTGACCTCCTATTCTAAAACACAGCTGCTAATTCCTCCACGTTAGAAAAAGGACATTTAATAAACCTGACAGCTCTACCTCATATCATCACAAAATAATGCTCCTTGCTAACTCCTGGCTGTAAAAAGTTGGTCTTGACACTAAATCATAGGCTCTGGAAACAAAAAAAGATATCATGGCTAGCCTTACAGCAGTGAGCACAAAAATTCCCAGGTGAAACAATCCATGGACAGAGTCTCTCAAAAAGAGCACACTGAACCTCAGAGCCCTGAAGTTACAGGCTAATTTCAGTACTTGGTGAATCTTAAATAAAGCCTCCATGCGAGCCTTTTTAGGATTATGGCCCTCAGTTGTTTCTAACTGAAGAAATGGAAACTATCATTACATAGCTCTGGAAAAGGCTTATTCCCAAATAGGTCCTATTTACAGGTCAAAATTCTACCCTGTCTTGTTTACATGCAACTCTCAGAAAAAAAAAAAAAAAAAAAAAGAAATATGAAGATAATGGGATTGCGTAAGTGCCCACAGGCTGCAGACCATGTTCAGCCTGGAGGTTCCTCTGAGCAGCATCTCTTGCTCCCTTGCTCTCCTGGGTGCCAGGGCACGGCCACGGTGCCAGAGCTGCCCTGGGCTGGGAGCCAAAATTGATATTTTTTATATCAATTGATACCAAAACTGAAATTTTGATAGCCAAAACCTGCGCACTGCTGGCTCTCCCTGCCCGTACACACCAGCTCATTTAGAGCTGGCCCAGAAGTTGCATTCACATCTCTGACCACACTGCAGATGTACTCTGAGAGGAGCAGAACAACCCCAAAAGCTTTTGAAAAACTAGCCCTTGAAATCTAATTTCAAAGTCAAACTTTTATCACAGGCCTGATAAATTAGTGGTTACAGAAAAATGAGTTTCTACAGAAATAAGAAAGGTGCTGCAATTTAGTTAATTTAAGAGTTAAGGCTTTCAAGCTCACTGGCATTTTTCCTGTCTCCTTGAAAACACTGTCTCAGCCACACCTTGGTGGGCCAACACAGGTAAAATCAAAATGTCAAATTTTAAAATCAAAATCACCTGTCGGGACAAAAGAGTGCAGCATTTCTTGCTAAAAGTAACTTTCTTTTGATAAAAAAAGTACATTTTTTGTTTGTTTGTTTCAATACTCCTTCTGAGGCAGCCAATCTGGCTGGCAGCCCCCTCCCTCTCCACGCTGCTGCTGAATTGTGATTGTGTGGGGAAGACGGGATGGCTGTTAACCTCTGTATCATGGGGTCAGCATCACAACAACATGCTCCTCCAGCAATCCTACACCTCCTGTCACAGCATTCCTCTACCGCCGCTTGTTTTTCCAAGTTTAATTAAAATCCACTGCAGTTTTTTTTTCCCATCTGCTCAGAGGGGTTTGAGCAGCTCAGCCGTGTTTCTGCTTCTGGAAAGCAGCAGGAACAGAGGGGTTAATGCTCTGTATTCAGAACAAAAACCACAGAGCTGAGGCAGATCTGCACTCATCCAATCCATTCCCTGACAAAACTTGTTGCTAGTCCTGTCTGCACCATCCTAGATCTCCCAGGTTTCACTGGCTTCTAGCCAAAAGTGTCGTTTTACTCTCATAATGAAGGGGGCCAGAAGGATTTATCTTTCCCAACCTCTCCCTACATTATGTCCATCCCTGCAGAGCAATCTTCTTGTTTTTCCACATTTTCTTGCAGTCTGAAACCCTCCCAAGGGCATATCCCCAAGGATCTGCTGAGATGGAGGGCTTCTCAGCTTACAGCTTCTGCCTACAGTGCTGTATTTAGCCCATTAAAAATCCCAATAAGGTTACACATAAAAGCTCCTTCAAAGTTTTGGCCCTGACACTTTACTCCTCACCTTCTAAATCAAGTTATTCCTTATTTGAAAATCTTCAGAAATTGTTTGGAGGAGTGAATGACCTATTCTGAGGCTTTAAAATTAGATCAAAAGTATAAAGTTGCTTCCTCCCAAGCCACTGTACTACTAAACAAGGAAACGGTCACACAATAAAATTTCCACAAGAAGAATGGAGTCTGTAAACTGAAGCTGTCAGAGGTGAGGAGGGGAAAAAAAGAAAAAAAAAAAGAAAAAAAAAAAGGCTAATGCTGTAGTATTTATTAAAATCCTGCAAGTTAGTTCAACAATATACTATACAAATTACAGTTCCCACCTTACAACTTGCATCAGGAACTGCCTCCCACCAAACAACCACCCCTCCCAAAAACCCAAACCTGCATGGTTGAACATTCTTCCTAGACACTAAGTCAGGCTAAGACACTCAGGTTAAGGGGGAGATGCCAGTTTTGCCTTGATCTGCTCAAGTCATACTCTGCTGGAGTCTGGGGCTTAGAGACAAGTGCAAAGTCTGCCCACTGGATCTCTCCTTCTTCTTTCCAGGCTCTTTTCTCCCTATAACATATCTGGAGTTAGTCACATTATTCCCACTGACTCATGAAAACCCTCCCAAAGTATCAAAAGCACACCTGAAAAGCAACCAAATAAACCATCCAGCCCTGTATAATGATATGTCAGGTTTCTCTGAAAGTTTTTTTGCCCTGGGTTTGGAAGACTAATCCAAAAATAAATTGTTCTCCTGCTGGCCTGTGAAGAAAACTCAACACTAAAAGATCTGCAGCTGGAACTTAACAAATAATCCCACTGACTAAGAACAAATACCTGTTCTTCTAACATGGCTGCTGTGACTCCACTGGCTCAGTCACTACTAAAGCTGGAGTAGAAACCTTCCTTATTTTTAGGTTAAGTGAGCAAATACACATTTGAAAGCAGGGGGGAAGATCCTGAAGCCAGGAAGCACTATTTTTACACACTAATTGCTGATAAAACCACACTTAGAGAAAGAATGAATATCCATTGTTCCCCATTGCCATGGTCTACTGAAGGGAATCTCAACTAGATCAAGCCTGCCTTGAGTTTTACTGTGTGTTTTGATTCCAGCTTTGATAAGGTCACACCTTAGAAGAGCCATGCATAGTGTAACAGATGGGGATAAAGCTTTCAGCTACTCCCAGACTCCGCTAATAGCATTTCTAAGAGAAGAAAAATCAAAAT